GTGAGACAACACTAGTGTTTGTTGCTCAGAGTGTCTGCATCTTTATAGAAACACAGTCGTGCGTTCTGGACGCCATTCTGTTGTGTCGGCTGTTCAGACGTGATCTGTTCTCTGGTTCCTGCCAATAATTATTCAGAGAAATATCACAACCTCTTCAAAAAAAAGTCACTAGATTACTAAAGTTAATTGACGTTGCTGGGAAACTTTTCTTATTCAGCCCTATTGCTCACGTGAGGCTTATTGTCAGGAGGTGACTGCAATAAGAAGAGAGGTTGCTATATTTTCAACTTTAGCTGATAAATGATGTAAGTTTATTACTGTAGTTTTCAAACTTCTTGAATAGCATCAGTTTTTTGTCCACACATGCATGGTAATAGAATTAATTTACATATTTCTTGTGCAACCTTTTTTAAGTGTTAGCTGAGGAAAAAGATTTGTTGGTATAGTGAAGAAATATTCTCACTGGAAATATTTTATTTTTATTGTTCAGTTCTTTATTAATATAAATTTCATCTGAAAACTTGGATGTCTTGCTCACATTCAGTTTTCATATTGTTTCTCCACAATGCTTTGAGTAAGATCAGGGTTACGATTTAGCCTTTTTTAAAATAAACTTAACACAAAAAATAAGGAAATTTGTGTTTGGTAGATTATTACTTTGTTGTAACACTGCGTCTTGGTAATAAATATTACCTATRGAAAGCCTGTTAATTTTAAATGGTGCCACGTTTTTAAGGAACATGCATTTGAGTGATGAGCAGTAGAATTGAGGATGTGGGTTGTGCCCCATGAAAAACTGCCAAATCTTATCTTCCATTGCAAAACAGCTTATTTTGCTGTTGCTATTGACACTTGTTTTGAGCTTCCGATACYCCTAAGTGCTGCCAATCAGGTTCCTGATTTAAGATTTATTGCCAAGAAGCGTTGTTACAACAAAGAAATATTCTACCAAACACATATGTCTTTACTTTTATTGCTAAGTATATTTTTTCTTTAACTAATTGTCAAAAATTCAATTTATATGTTCCATATCAGTGTAAAACTATACAACTTTCTCACATTAAAGGGGCAATAACATGTTAAATCAACTTTTWTGAGTTTTATGTCATGTTATAATGTTATACTCTCACAAAAAAACATGCCCAAAGCCTTGCTGTGACTCATTCATGCATGTTTGAGAAATCCTGCAGCGTTTTTAGGAAGCCATGCTGAGGAGCAAAACGACAGGTGGGGACCAGAAACGCCCCTGGGATGTGTCTTTAAGCCAAACTTCCTCATGGCAGAGCGACACCCCTCCCTCTCATCCCACCCATGACTCCTGCAGGCTCTTGGGTGAAAGTGAAAGTGAAACTTAAACTGTCTGCTGAGCTCTCAAAATCAGTTCTCACTCAGTG